TGAGGTCAGCCTAGACAACTTAGTGACACCCTGTTTTGAGAGACAGAGACAGGAGAAGGAGGAGGAGGAGGAGGAGGAGGAGGAAGGAAGGAAGGGAGGAAGGAAGGAAGGAAGGAAGGAAGGAAGGAAGGAAGGGAAAAAAGAAGAGAAGAAACAGGAGAGAGGGAAGGGAAAGGGGAAGGGAAAGGAGGGGAAGGGAGGGGAAAGGAAGGGAGGAGAAGATACAGAGGAGAGGAGAGAAGGGGAGGTAACAAGACAGAAAGAAGAGAGGAGAGGGGAGGGGAAAGGAGGGGAAAGGAAAATAGAGAGGAGGAAATGAGGAAGGGAAGAGGGAGAGGGGAAAGAAGGGAAGAGAAGAGTGGAGAGGAAAGGGGAGAGAAAGGAGAGTGGTAGAGAAGAGGGGAAGAGAGGAGGAAAGAAAAGGGGAGGAGAGGAAAGGGAGAGCTGGAAGGTGAGGAGAGGAGATTTGTGGACAGAGGCACAGTGAGAGACTATGGAGAAGAAGGGAGGTCTGGAGAGTAATTCTACCTGCAGAGGAAAAGCAGAAGATGGACATCTGGAAGGGATAGTAGGTGAGAAGAAGGCGCAAGAGAGAAGGCTCTCAGGCTGTGAGCCACCTGCTCGGGAAAAGGCCCAGAGAACACAGTGCTGAGCTCACAGAAGACATTCCAGGAAGCTCAGACATGAAGCAGAAAGCCCCATGGTCCTCAGTGCAACCACAGAGAAGAGAGTTGGATGCCACAGTTAATTACTTCCTGACCAGACGGGGTGACTTGAAGGCAGTGAGGAGTCATTTAACGTGAAATGGTCACTAAGTTGAATTCAGTGTTTTTCCTTTCCTTTCAAAATTGAAATATACATGGTTGTTTTTATCATTTCCTAGATGTATTCTTAATTTTACAGTCTTCTAATTTTCAGTGCTTCTAGGCTCTAATTTTCTCCCCACTTTTCATAAATAGAGGGAAAGTGCTTTGCAATCTGGTCATGGAGACTTTACAAAACTATCTTTGGGGGACTGTGCCCCTCCACTGTCTCCCAGGCACCAGACATTAAGTAATTGCTGTAGATAGCCAGGCACTGGGGTTCACACCTATAATCCTAGCCTCTCAGGAGGCTGAGATCTGAGGACTGCAGTTTGAAGCCAGCCCAGGCAGTAAAGTCCACAAGACTCTTATCTCCAATTAACCACCAAAAAACTGCAAGTTGAGCTGTGGCTCAGGTGGTAGAGTACTAGCCTTGAGTGAAAATGCTAAGGAACAGCACCTAGGCCCTGTGTTCAAGCCCCAGTATTGGCAAAAAAGAAAGAGAGAGAGAGAGAAGGAAGGAAGGAAGGAAGGAAGGAAGGAAGGAAGGAAGGAAGGAAGG